TTAAAATATTAAATGATGTTCTTTATCGAAATATTCGATGGTCTAATGTAAATCGAATATTTCGATAAAGAACATCATTTAATATTTTAAATTTTAAATGTTAATTATTGTAATATTTTAATATTTAATAAGAATTTATTGTGATTAGACGGACAAGATTTAAATAAAATGATTAAAGTTATTTAAATGTATTTTATGTCAACAGTACCATAAGTTTTATCTGAGAGCAAACGAGTCCTGAAGGATTAACAGATTATTAATATTACAGAAATATTTGGGGCTACACCAAAATATAAAATTATTCTGAAGGGGTGTAAGAAAATCATATTCAAAAGTATCTTAATTACGACTATTGAAGGAGAAAGGAATGTTGCAAGATCTGTACAATTATAGAATAATGAAAGAATATTTTATCTTAGATGCACTCAATCCTTGAAATTAGTTACTATGATGACATTGAAAAGCCTTTTCCAATAGACATAACCTCACGAACAAAGGACTCATGGTGGAACTAAATTTCAACATTTAATTTCTCTGTTATCATAATCGTTATCAGCTCCAAGATTTAAATTCAATTATCTGCCTCGTTTAAATTAAGAATTCCTTTCACCAGTTAACCTTTTCACAGGTCCAAAAACCAAGGCCAAGGTTACACGATAATCCATTTGAGTCAGTAGTATGTATTTTAATATAATATAAATGCAATAAATTTAAAGTAAGTTAATTTATATGTAATTTTTTTTTCCGGAGGGCAATAATTTTGTAAAATTTCTTTGGAATTAACTCCTCTTCCAATCTTACATGTTCGCACCTTTTCTGAAATATCAAACTTCGTCTGTAATACCATTAATCCGTAACGCCTTCCTAATATTAATCTTCGTTTACATAAAATAAAACTGTTAAACGGTAAAAATAAATTCAAATTCTGACAAAAATCACTTCATCAAAGCACGTTTTCCAGATAACTGAAAATGTTTTTAAATGTAATAGTATAAAACTTTATAAATATAATAACAAGTTTTAATTCAAGAATGCTTGAGTTTATTTCCATGTCTAATCTCCGAGAAACAATAGAATGTTTTTCTAAATTAAAATAGATTTTATTCAAGAGCAAGCTCTAATATTTTCTAAACAGGATTTTATAAAAAAAACAATTAAAAGTAATTAAAGGACTGATTTTATTAAAGATTTCATTGAGGCATACGCGAGGAATTCTATACTTGATTAAACAAATCAATCACATTGTACGTTCAGAAATACGTAGATGACAATTCTGAAAATGTACCAACACTACCTAATTTGAAAGTTCTTTGATTTAGAATATATTGTGAAATTTATATTCACAAAATCAGTTGCTGAAATTGCATTATCATTTATTATATCTTAAATTTAAATAGCACAAATAAGGCTCAGATTACTTAGTTTGCTTCTAACGAAAACAATTTTGTATCACGGTCGTAATTATATATATTATTTTAAGATCGTTTTGTAATTGTGTTTAATAAATTATTTGGTGATCTTGAGCCCATAAATGCAGACACTGCTTATTTATAAATATGAACCTACATTTGCTGTGTGTATGTCTAAATTCTAATAATTTCCCTCCTCAGTAACTCTATACACACACACACCAACTACCAAAACACAAACGTTGAACACTACACACACTCACACACCAACTACCAAACACAAACGTTGAACACTACACACACAATCGATTGCAATTCTAAACTCTTTCAAGTTTGAATCTTCTTCTGCTCGTCATAACTGCAGAGATGAATCACATCTATTCAATAACAAACAAATCTCCTAGAGAGGAAAGGGAAACACACATTGTTTGGGTACATTTGGTACAATTAGAACTAAAATTGAAAGGAACTCCATCTGCTCGTCCAAAGAGCTAGAGTTTAAGAAAACAAACAACACAAAATCTTCAGGAGACGTGTTCAGAGATTATACTTTCAACAGATTTGTCGACCTCAATACTATATGCAAACACACTTCTGAACTAATAATCTTTACAGTCCGTAGCATAAGTCAGGAACTGCTTGGTTCCGAGTCACCGGAAGAAATCAACGTCGAACCGTGCTCTGAACACGTCCCTTTGATTTATACGTACACCAGTAGGGCTATTATGTAAATAAGTACTGAAAACGTGTTCCACTATTTCCCTTTCGATGTCGGCTTTAACTGATAAAACATCTAAAATGCATGAAAACTTTGCTGGGACTGGTATTAAGATTACGTAGCATGTAATAAAACACGTTATGCGTGGTCAATGAGGAAAGACAAGGAAAAAGATCGTGGCCTACTTTAACACACTGTCAAGAAACTACTACAGCCTTCAGTCAGAATACCCTGTCCTCGTCGGTCGAGATTCGAACCACGTGTTTGCTGGAAACGAGTGACGTCATAACGAGATCAGTTTATTAAACTTCTTTAAAATAAATTACACTCATGGATACGAAATTAACGCAAGAAATTCATGGTTGAGAGGAGTCTGTCTACAAAATCCGATGCGTGAATGTTACATACGTTAATCAAAATTTATGATAAAACCTTCAAATTTGTCAGTGTAAAAACAATGTTTTCACCAAATTCATTGTTAACAATTTAAATAATTCTTGCGAAATTTTAAATTTTTGCTGATTATATGAACCATAGGTTTCACGCATTGCTATTTTGAGTGTAACAACGGTTATAAAATTTAAACAGACTGGACTGAACCAAAATAAATTGAACGTCTTATGAAGGTGCGCTATGTCGTCCGGTGGACACTGACCAACAGTCTGGAAGATTACATCGTGTCGAATGCCTGCGATTACATATTCAATGTACACAGAACGTCTGCATACAGTACTTATACATAATTACTGGTGAACGTAATCTTCACTTAGGATTAAATGTGAGGCAGGAAGGTAAGTGTATCCTTCACTTAGGATTATTTTTCTTGTAAATGTGAGGCAGGAAGGTAAGTGTATTTTCCAGACAGTACTAATCTGGATCCCAGCCTCGTAACATTTCGGGATCAAAATATTCTGCAAATCTACGAAATAAAATACAATATAACACATCACACAATATACTGGTAAGATGGCTCCCTGGTGTCTTGTTTCCAAGGGCCTTATATTCATCTTCAAATCGTTTGCTACAAAATTTCACATTCCTCACGAGCCAAATGCTAGAATTATGACAATCGACGGCTATCAAGAATTTAATTCGTTACATTAGTTTAATTAATATCAGTTAAAACCAATTAAAAACGATGAGAATTTTGTCCAGTAGCTTAGGAAATAATTTTGAAAAAGGCAGTATAATTTTATTGAAACAAAACTATAAATCCTCTTTTCTTTTGTCAGAATATCGCACGTGTTCTCTGGTACATTAGCGTCATTTTAACTCGAAAATGTGAGACGCTGTGTACAGTTATCACATTTGGCCCGTGGAGAGAATGTAATTCATCACAGACCAGGTAAATACATGAATATAAAAACACAGGGGCGGTGTATCCTGGCACCGGTTTGTTCCCCGGGTTTAATGCGGGAAATATGTCGTTGAGGAGAACTGTGCAAGTTGTCGGCAGTCAGTAAGCCAGTAAGCAGCTGCACAGAAATGTAATTGCGAGGTATATGGGCCCTTGTGACTCCATCTGCACCTAGTTTCGGATCTCTTAAAGAAAGCAGTTTCAGGTTCCTATGGCTTGACTATATACGGTGACGAAATCATAAAAATATGAGGATTAAGAGATCGAAGCATATAGTGAATCAAATAAAATCACAAGTGCGATGTTAAGCGTCTCAGATAATGCTAAAATAATAAAGGTTTCATGCGGATTATTTCAGCATTAAAAGTCGAAATTTAAAATGAAATAATGAAGACATTTTAACGCATTATTGAAATATAGGGTACATTTACGAACCGCATTACTAATATTATCAAAGATTTTGAGTAGCACATTGGCTAGTAACCTCATATTACTCAGTAGACCAACTGCGTTTAGTGAATTGAATATTTATTACAGCCATGCAGTGTCAGAACAAAAAGATCAATTGAAGTTAATTGGATTATAAAAGTGATACTAATATACGTTTTGCTTATAATGCAAATTAAAATACTGTATTAATTTTTTGCACAAATACATCCTAGGGAGTGGTACTAAGTATAAAATTTGTTTTATAAATATATAATTGCTAAGTGAAAACTTCAGTATTTCTCAACAAAAAAAACCCCTAAAAACTACGATATTCATTTAATAAAATCGACTTGGCAATGGTATCGAAACATGAATTTAGCGTTAAACTTCATTAATTTGTCGTCAAAACGAAAAACAATAATGGAAAGAATGAACGAGGTATATCGACGGAATTGTTAAAGCAAATTGTGGCAGTGGAAAACATTCGGGCAGGTAGCAAGGCAGAAAGAATGTTGTCGACGGTGACGAGACAGTGACAGGCAGGCAAGCGAGCAAGCAGGCAAGTGTTGTCGACGAGTGACGTAATAATGAATGACAAGCGAGCAGGCAGGCAGGCAGGCAGGCAAATGTCGTCGACGAGTGACGCTCGGCTCTCTTCGACTAGCCGAAGCGACTTACGTAAATGAGCTTATGGTAGTATCGCTGCTTGAGGTTATGCAAGACAGAAGCATCATTAAGGTATGTCAAGTTGGACATATCCTCGCATTTTTCATACTTGGGGGGGTTGACTTGAGTCACTTGTTCCTTCTTGAAGTTCTTATCCTAATGGGGGAAAAGAACAACATACACGATTAGAAAGATCTTTAGAAATGAAATGATGTCTGTTACCTTTGAGGACACTTACATAAATCAGTTTGCAGTAATAACGTTGTCGTAGATTATGAAGGACACTAGCTTCGTTGAGGTATGTGAGGTCAGCCATGTCTTCAACTTTCTCGAACTTTGGTGGGTTCACTTGGCAAATGAGGTCCTTCTTCACATTCTTGTCCTGCTCACATATATAATGGTTTGACAAAATATTCTCTCAAACACTGATTTATTAGTAATCCATCCTCCACTGCTTATGACAGTGATACGTTTGTTCAAGACAAATTAATATTTTTTATTAAAAAATGCACTACATTCCAAATACGTATATGACATTCAACTCCCACACCTGTATGTGGAAGGATTTTCCTGTTATACATTGATTAAAATTAATTTCAAAACGGCACCTCTTTTCGATTTTGGGTTTATATTCGAAACGAATATATGTAAATTTATCATGTACCCGATGTTACATCATACTTTTTTTTTTAGCGATGACAGCAGTTATTTTAAAGCGCCTTGAGCTTGAAAGTGGCTTACGATTTGCTGTATGAACGATCCTTCCTAAGATGAACAATCTAGTGCCAAATGTCCTTCCTACTCGGTAAACACTGTGAGTCTACCTTTTAAAATATAAAATATTATACTAAGCGTAAAATACAATTTGTGTTCCAATGACGGCGCCAGAGAAAACGATTTGAAACTATTTCCTTAATGTAGTACTTTATGTACGTATATTTAAAGATAACTATAATTTCAAACGTTTGGAAATAAGGAACCAAACTTTCATAAATCTTTTCTTTTCTTATGCATACTACTGTTAGTAACAGAACCTTTAAGACTATCATCCGGTAACGTGATATTAGGCAACCCTAACAGTTCAGTGGAAGATCTGCAGTTGTCAATTGACAGCTTAAATTCTTTGCTCTTTTATATCGTAGTCTTGGGACACATTATGAATCACAACAGGTTTTAGCGGCTGTGTTGGAATTCAAGTGACCTCTGATTAGGATCATCGCCTGAAGAAGCCCATTCTTACCTCACCACCAGGCAGGGAAACAGTGACCAAGTCTCCCTTGGTGGCCTTGATTTCACCCAGCACATAACCCTCCTTCTCATCCGGCACCCAACAGGCCTTTTTGGCGTCATAAGGCTTGGTTTGGTCCATACGCTTCTGCTCGAGCGAGACGAACAGGTACGGGGTGGGATCCGGGTCGTCACCCTCCTGCTGTACTGGCTTCGGCATGGTGCTACTAGTGCGGACTGAAGTTGTGGGCTATCGAGACACGTATGAACAGCCCAAGAGCCTTCCTGCAACCACACAAACATCAAACATGAGAAGCGAGTTACTTCTTAACGTAATGTGAGATCCCAAAAACATTTTTTTCAGTATAAATAACATATAAAAATTAAAAGTTTCAAATGCTAACAAATTAAATTAAAGGAGAATCATTACTTTACGCGAATTTTAATCTTTTTATAAGCAGATTAGAACAGCGCTACTGCGGGAAAATAAAAAAAAAATGCTTAAATTTATTATCAATCTTTACTTCCCGAAAACGTCTCCTTTTTCGATACGTTTCGGCGAATATCACAGGCGTTAAACTTATTATTACCAAACCCATATTCGCTTGGACTCGAACAAAGTGCAGCTCTGTGGATTGTGACCTTTGCTACCGTAATCTCCTTACACAAAAAAAAGTTCCAGGCTCCATTATTCTATCGTGTTTATTTTTCTAGCTACAAAAGAATTACCATCGGGATTATAACCGAAGGAAGTTTTGGAGGTTATAGCTTTCATTCGTGTAGTTTCTCCGTCGAAAGTGACAACTTTGGTCATAACTTTCTTCAATCATGCTTGGTTTCCGAGTTGAAGATATTGACTGCACCAGGACTCAAATTCATGACAATTTTCGTGGTTGAAGCCTTTACTCCTGTAACGTCCCAACTGAAACAACATACTCTGGTCCTGGAGCTGCCCTTCTGTTCAATTTCCAAGCTACAGAAATTACCCTCATCGAGAATCGAACCCAGTAGACTTTCTCGGAGTTTCGACATTTCTAAACCTCTTCAGGGAATAAGCATGCCACGTTTTGGTTCATTTTCTTTCTTCAGTTTGTGGGCTATAAGCGAAGAATTTCAGTTTGTTGTGTAATATTTTAATTAAAACATAATTCCGGCGACAGTTTGATGGAAACATTACTCGAGTTAAATGTATTACAGATTCACAAAAACTAATTTATCTATCTATTTGCAATATGCAAATCGATGCAATTACCGTCGCATGATCTCCACATAGACCTACACGGTTTTATGTAAAGTGGATTAAAAATAAATTATAATTTCTGATCCTAGCGCGTGTCAATGTTATGATAATTATTGTTACAGTTGCTGTTACACTAGACTTTAATCTGCGGATAGATTAAAGAACAGCTTCTTAAGAGTGAAGATTTGATAATGTAGGAAGTTAATTTTCATCGTAAATTTTACTTTACTTATCCAGTTCTTAATTGTTTGTTACTTTACTATGATTACTAAAAAATAATAGTACATTCTTCCTAATTTGAATATTCTCGAAAAATAATTACGTATGTTTAAAATATATCCTTTTTCTATCAACACTAACTTCATTCGCAACGCTATTGGTTCCTTCGTACGAACACTATACGATAAAGCAGACGACGACTACGGCCAGCTGAGGCAATGTGATAAATTACGAAACTTACGGTAATTTGAATTTTTGCATAATAGTCGGTAAGCTAAATCGAATTTATTTTAAAATGACTACAAAGGAACCCTCGGTAACAGCATTATAATTTCAGTAATGTTGCTAAATATTTTAATTCGCTTAAAATATCTGTCTTATTAATGACGTATATGGGCTTCTAATGGTTACCTGATAAATTGATGAACTGCTGAGATATGCAGTATTTAAAATAAGTTATTATTTTATAAGGACTGATTAATAGACTACTTATTCTTACGTTCTCACTAGAAACACTTAGTCTTTCAACAGGTCTTTCCTACAAGTTGTTTTTCAACAGCATTTTTGCTTTGGTAAAAACATCTGTTCGAAAATTAACATAATATTAATTGAATTGTTAAGTAAGTTAATCAGCTACTAATTTATAGAAAAAAACATAATTGTGGCCATTACCAATCTCAAAATTATCTCATGAGAAATTGTAACAAGCCGGAAGAAATCTCTCGAGCCCTATGAAATTTAAAGTAGGATATTTTCAGTAAGTGCAATGTATTTTATATTTCAATAAAAACTATAAAGTTGTCAAATAACTGTAAAAAGTTCGCTCCAAGTTCTATTTAAAAATTTTCTTCGTTTCAAGCTTTTCCTTTCGTTAATTACAATTATTAACTTTGTGCGTGATATTGGCCTATTAGCCTTTAACGATAAGTATGCCTAACGCTGCAAATACCCGTTTAAATCTACCAAAAATAGTCATAGTTTACTTTCAACCTCCAAGAAAACACACTTCATTTCTATTATAAAGATAAGACGGTTATGATGTGTAGATAAACAACAGTTTTCTCTCAGAATCAAACCAACCCCAAGCGTGTATATACATAACACATTCTGAACCTAATGCTTGAAAATATCCGTACAAGCTACACACACTGTGAACTTACAAAGATTTAATGGGAAGGAAATTTTGTTACGTGTTTCAGAAGTGTTCAAACCACACATTGCTTCCTTTAGGCATCAGATGGCTGGAAAATTACCATATTTTTGCGTAATTAAAAAAATAAGCCTACCACTTAAAATGACCCTGTGTCTTTAAAGTCGAAGATTCTTGCCGTCCATTCGTAAATGGTTTCATATGAAATCACGCTGCGGTTTAACACAAACAAACGACGTGTTTATGTTCAACATTTCAGCGTGCAGATTCGGCGAATAAGTACGTTTGTGTCGGCTGTGGTCTTCAGGGTTGTGACGCATTTTAGTCTTGTGTGTGGTTATCAGCGTCTCTGAGAAACGGTGTGTCTCCATTTTCAGGTTTTTCGCCGGATTTAGCTCCGTGTGACTTCTTCCTCTTCCCAAAGATGAAAATTCAGCTAAAGGGAAGGAGATTTGAGACGATAGAAGAGATTCAGGCAGAATCGCAGATGGTGCTTGACAGGCTGACAAAGAAAGATTTCCAGGGATGCTTCCAGGCTTGGCAGCGGCGATGGGATCGTTGTGTTCACTCCCAGGGGAACTACTTCAAGGGTGATGGATGAATTTAATACCTGAGATAAGTGCACGGGTTTTTATACGCGCAGTCTGGAAACCTTTCGATCGCACCTCGTAT